GACCCTTCTTCTAGGGTCTAGGCCCAAAACGTCAGCCTTCCTGCTCCTCTGATGCTGCTTGGCCTGCTGTGTTCATCCAGCTCTACACCTTGCTATCTCACATTGAGAGACCTGAATTGATATAGCACCTCTCTCGATCAAACAATGTCCCAAAGTACTTTACAGACGATGAAGTGTTATTAACACTTGCTCTTAAAGTTCTAACTTAGGAAATGTGGCAACTAAGTTTATGCAGAGCATGCTTCCACAAACAGCAACTAGTGAGGGCAATAATGAATACTGCAAGGGGAGTAGGAGGCTACAGCAAGGTATAGAGTTACAGGCTGTAAAGAAGATAAACTGTTTCAAACCTGTTAACATAAAGAATACTCCTGGATCCAAGAAAACATTAAACTAGGGATACAGGCCAAATGCTGGCAAGCAGGACTAGATTAATTTAGGATATCCAGTCGGCATGGACAAGTTGGACTGAAGGGTCTATTTCCATGCTATACAGCTCTATGACTCTATGCTGAGGGAATGAATTCTTGCAAACGAATGTGGAATCCCTGGTTTAAGACGGTGTATGTTCTGGAGCTATTATGCTTGGAAACAACATGACTAGTGGTGTGCCACAGGGGTTGGTGCTGGGACCTTTGTTATTTATTACTTACATAAATGATCTGAATGTGAATGTACAAGGCATGATTAATAGGTTTGTGAATGTTACAAAATTAGAAAGTATCGTTGATAGCGAGGAAGGTTATCAAAAATTAGAGGGATCTTGATCAGATAGGGAAGTGGGCTGACGATTGGCAAAAACAATTCAATACAGATAAGTGTGTGGTGTTGTGTTTTGGAAAGTCAAACCAAGATAGGACTTATACAGTAAATGGTAAGGTCCCGAGGAGTGTTATGGAACAGAAGGACCTAGAAGCACAAGTACATAGTTTGTTGAAAGTGGCGTCACAAGTAGACAGGGTGGTGAAGGAGGCATTTAGCATGCTGGCCTTTATTGGTCGAGGCATTGAGTATAGGAGTTGGGACATTATGTCACAATTGTATAAATTGTTGGTGAAGCCGCACTTGGGAGTACTGTGTACAGTTATGTGTACACCCTGTGATAGGAACGACATAGTTAAACTGGAAAGTGTGCAAAGAAGATTTACGAGGGTGTTGCCAGGACTAGTAGGCCTGAGTTATAGGGAGAGGTTGGCCAGGATAGGACTTTATTCCTTGGAATGTAGGAGATTGAGGGGTTTCCTTACTGAGGTGTATAAAATCATGAGGGGCATAAATAGGATGAATGCATATAGTCTTTTTCCCAGGGATGGGGAATTGAAAACTAGAGGGCATAGGTTTAAAGTGAGAGGGGTAAAATTTAAGAAGGACCTGAGGGGCAACTTCTTCACGCAGAGAGTGGCGCATATATGGAATGGGCTGCTAGAGAAAGTGGTTGAGGCAGGTACAATAGCAACATCTAAAAAACATTTGGATAGGTACATGGATGGGAAGGGTTTAGAGGGATATGGACCAAACACGGGCAATTAGAACTAGCTGAGTGGGCACCATGGTCAGCATGGACTAGTTTGGGCCTAAGGGCCTGTTTCTACGCTGTATTACTCTATGACTGTAAATGTAGTGGATCTTGCTGTAATAAAACACTTAATTATTGAACTTAAACCTAAGATGCTGTAAATATTATTGTAACTGCCTTGTTAAAGTATTCCAGCTTGTGAGATGGAAACACAACAGCTGTGAGCTCACCGGCCAGCAGAATGGGTGATTAGACCGATGGGGTTTTGTGTGTCGAAGTGTGTGTGTGTCAGTTATTATGGAAGAAAGCTTGTCAATGTCTGTGCCTTCTGGTGGGATCTAGGAGACGTTGCCATGGTGTAGACCTCCATGAACATTAGGAGAATATAAAACAACAGGGATGTTAGCAGCGGCAGGTTTCCTGTTTGGTCACACCCAGCACCTACTTTTTACCCTCCACAGTGTGGCAGTAATCTTCAAATCAAACACCCCAGACACGGCACAGATTACAACAGCCGCCAGCGCTCCTTTCGGGATGTAGTAGAAGAGAGGGGTGAGGAAGGCGAGAGAGAGCAGCACGATGACTCCTGGGGAGAAACAACACTATTAGAGATCGTACAGGGTCAGAGGCGGGGTAACGTTTAAAGAAACGCTGCATTTCAGGTTAACGTGGAACCAACCCGGAATCAGAACAGGGCAGCGATCAATTCATTTACCTTCCAAAGACGGGACTCACCAGTGACTATTCCACCAGCAGGGCTGCACACACCTGTCTGGGAATTTACTGCGGTCCTGTGGCAGAGAGAGAGAGAGAGAGAGAGAGAGAGAGAGAAAAAAAACTTTCCAAAATGGAACACCTCACACTTATCTGTATTGAATTGCATTTGCCAATCCTTGGCCCACTTCCCCATCAGTCTGTTACAGCAGAAGCTAAAGGAGGGACTTGGATCCAACGGCTATGATGCAGACCCTGACACACGGCCATCTGTGAACTAACAGGCGCACCCGGACTATTCCAAACCCGTGTTTCTTGTCATGGGAATGGCAGAAAACACAGCGATCCTTACTCCCTCCATCCCGGGACAGTGCTCAATTCTCACTCCTTCCCCACCCCAGGCTCTGTCCACCTCCCTAACAGACCCCAGCTCTTCTTCCCCACTGTGCCCCTGTTCTGTCACTAACTACCTGCCTGGGGCAGAGGGGAGTCCACAGGAATATTTGCTCCTGTAGGCGGTGACAAAAAGGCTGCTTTTTAAACAGCAACACAAACCCTCTCCATTCTACACCAGTACCCCCACCCAGAATCTAGCCCCTCCCTGCACACCCATCCTCACCCCCCCCCCCCCCCACCCCCCGCCCCCGTGACTTACCTCCCGAAACTCCCAGTTACAGGATAAGATGAAACCAGAGAACCCAGAATGTTTGTGCTACCTGAAAACCAAAACAGACCAGAGTCAGGGTGGGCTCAGTCTGTCCCAGCGGAGTCACGAGGGAGGGCACACTGTAACACTGGGGGCACAACATGCCAGAGAACACCGGACACAGTGGGAGAGGCTGCATCTGTAAATTCCAAACTAGATAGCCCTTCAGACAGCAGCAGTTGCGTCCCTGCCTCCAAACCTCCCTTGAATGGGACCTTTTTTTTTTTGAAATTGCAGAGGTTCTCAGTTTTGAGGCATGTCCTAACAGAGTATCCACTGTGAATAACCTGGAGTGTGACCTTAGCAGAAACCAGCCCAATGCCTTGCATAGGATGGTCCTTCTCTACTCAGCCTGAGCAGTAAGGGGTGGGGGGTGCTGGTGACAGACTGACCGTCTTACTGCCACCGGGCGGGGCCTCCATGTGTCAGAATAAACCATCACTCAGGCCAAAACCAGAGGGCAGAGGTTTAAGGTGAGAGGGGAAAAGGTTTAAAAGGGACTTAAGGGGTAACTTTTTCATGCAGAGAGCAGTGTGTGTATGGAATGAGCTGCCAGAGGAAGTGGTGGAGGCTGGTACAACATTTAAAAAGGCATCTGGATGGGTACATGAATAGGAAGGGTTTAAGAGGGATGCAGGCCAAATGGTGGCAAATGAGTCTAGATTTATTTAGGATATCTGGTCAGCATGGACGAGTTGGACCAAAGGGGCCGTTTCTGTGCTGTATGACTCTACAACATTGGCACCAAGTGTGCCATTCCCTTCAACGGTAATGGCACCCACACCAGATTCTGACACGAGACCACGAGTACACCAGCATAAAGTGCCAACTCTTACCGATCGCAAGGAGCTCCTGATTCGGGTCAATTCTGTAATTGTTCCGACTGGCTGCAAGAACACAGAAAAATCATTAAAGTGAAGCTTCTGCCACCCCAGTGTGAACAACATCTGATGATTGGGGACTGACACATACAACTGGCTGAAACCTCCTTCACTAAAGCAAAGCAGAGTGGGGACAACTCAGAAATCTCTGTCAGTGTCCAACAGTCCCTTTCCACTCTAGACAAACACTACAGGACAGTGAAAGGCAACGATGACAACACTGAAACTCAGGAAGGGGATACTGGTTTTGGAACATGGTACAGAAAAGATTCACTAAAAATAACTGCAAGCTGAAAGGGTTACATTCAGTCAGGTCATAACAGCTTCGGTCACATTCCTTTGTAAAAGTAGGTGATGGAAATGTATAAAAATGATTCTGGTAATCGGAGTAAATGGACTGAAACTACTTTTCCAGAACAATAAAGGGTAGAACCTTAAAATTCTAGCTCGGGTCATTCAGGGGTGATATCAGAAACTATTCCACCAAGAGGGGTGGTAGTAATCTCAAACTCTCTCTCCCTCACAGCCCCTTCCAAAATGAAATGAACACCTGGAGCTGTTTGGACTGAGACAGAGAGATTTTGTTGGTTTGAGGGTGGGTATGGGGCAGTAACAGGCAAACATATGGAGGTACAGATCAGAGAGGTAGAATGGAGTGATTGGGAGGCAAGGCTGAATGGCCTCCTCTTGCTCTGTAATGGTGAACCGGCAGTGTAAGCTATAGTGGGGCTGCTCAGGTAACTTTTGCTGATTACTCACCGAAAGCTTTGGCGATCGCAATGCTTTCCAGAAACCCAACCAGTGGTACCACGGCTAATCCTACTCCAAAATTCTGGAAAGATCAGACAATGTTTGGTACAACATCAAGATCAGTTTAACAACCAGCTCACCACCAACCCTGCTGCTTTATTCCAGAAAGCCAGTTGGTGAATGATAGTCTCGAGACTCCAGACCCACAGCAATGTGGTTGACTCATAACTGGCCTCTGGGCAACTAGGGATGGGCAATAAATGCTGACCATTACAAGCATACAACTGCTAACACAAGCCCACACTGTTTCAGTAAAGCCCTGCTTATCGTTCACTGTGCATAAAAAGTAAATTAATATACAATTAACACCCCATTGTGTTGAATAGCTAAATATTTGATGGCAAAGTGTGGAATTTGGGGATATTCATTTTATTTGAGAGAATGGTTTAAAAAAAAAAAAAGTAGATCTGAGTAATGCTTAATCGTTGATTGTTCCAGTAGAGGCAGTTTCTCAGCTTGACTCGGAGCAGTGACTTTGTTGTGATGGTTTTGTCTTGGGTAACTTCTGGAATGGGTCACCAGTTGGAAATTTTGCAAGCTCCCAATAAAAACCCATTAACATGTAAGAAATGGGAAGGTGTAGCTGGTTGAGGAGCGAAACCGCTCTGATAATCCGATGAAGAATTGGTATTTCAGATGTAAATTCGGGTCAGTATTCGGTGCAGGATCACAGGTGGACCCATGACATACAAAGAAAGACTGGATCGACTGGGCTTGTACTCACTTAAAATGACCAACCGTCCCTCTCATCCCTGCCTCCTTGACCTGACACAACCTGTCCATCTTCTCCCCCACCTATCGTCACTCCCACCGCACTGACCAATCCCCACCACTGCCTACCTGCACTCACCTATCACCATCCCTTCCCCAGCCCCACCCATCTTCTCCCTATTATTTCTGAGCTCCCTTCCTCCTCCCCCATTTCTGAAGAAGGGTCCCAACCCGAAACATCAGCTTTCCTGCTCCTCCGATACTGCCTGGCCTGCTGTGTTCATCCAGCTACTCACAGTTGGATCAGGTTTGATTTCACAGTGGACTGTTTCATGCCACCAACACTCACCTGAAGCATCTCAGTAAAGCAGACAGTCTTGTTGGACGTTGTATCGAAAAAAGCCGGGAGCCGGAAAGGTGGGAGGCCCTGGCTAGTTTTCCCCGTTAGAGTAAACACGTGTTGATTTTGACTTTCGAAGCAGAAAGCAACCAGACTGGCCGCTACCACCACCACAGCATTGCGGGCTGCGAGAGAGAACAGGATCATTCCTACTGAATCCAATCTACATATCCTCAAACATTAAAAAAGGACTCCAAATCCCTTTTCCATTCCAGCCTAATGATTAAACACCCCTCTGGTCCTCCTCCATCTTTTATTTTGACCCGAGATTAACCTACAAACTTTGCTGAATTGTGGGGAGATGAGTGAATGTTTGTGTGTTTCTTTTGCACATTTACATGGACTCTCCCTCCTTCTCTCTCTCTGTCCCTCAACTGGTGCTTCCATTACCTTTCCCTACCCTCCTTGCTTACTGAACATATTTTTGAAAGACCTCAAAATAAAACTTCCTTGAAAAAGCCACAGAAATCCTATTAAAACAACAGAACTGGAAACAAAAACCTCACTCATCAATAAAGTGAGATTTAAAATGAAATACAAGGTTGATGCTGCAATGGTGTGTAATGACCACATCCAGTGGAACAGGAAACAATTAAGGAACATAGCTCTACTTAGAGAGCTGGAATTCTCGAGAGCTGTACATCAGAATGCTGTCGGAATTCTGTTCCGAATGAAGGGAGACTGCTTTCAGTTGATTAGCTGAGCTACAGTAACAATGTTTTCTAATCACACATACTAACCTCAAAAGGAAATACCCTCCACAAACTCAGCACGACATCTTTAACATTTAGCATCGACCAGGAAGCAGTGAGTTAATTCGCTCATGGGGCATGGGCGTTGCTGGATGGGCCAGCATTTATTGGCCGTCCCTAGTTGCCCCTAGAGAAGGTGGTGGAGACCTGCCTTCTTGAACCGCTCCCACTCCTAGACTCTCCAGTGAGTCACATAAGGCAGTGGCCAGCAGACCAAGGTGCCTTTTCCCTGTGGGACAACGGGTTTTCATCTCTTCAGCCAAATCTCCCTGCTGGAGTCTGAAAGCGGGGGGAAACTCCCTCCCCGGGGCCAAGTCTCAGCCCAACACCATGACATTCACTGGAAAGCTGCGACCACCCCACCCAGTCAGACACATCCACACAGCTCGGTCGCGACCAGCTCCCATTCTGGTAACGGTGGGGACAGACCTGTTCCGGTGAAGCGGACAATGGCGTGGCACACCCTGTCCAGTAGCGGCAGATGATCCGATTGTTTCGGAAGGTGGTTCTTCATCATCTTCAACAGCACGAGCAGCAAGAGACAGCTCAGGCCGAGAACGAGGTCTCCGAGCCTGGGCCGAGGGAGAAACCAGGAGGAGGAAGAACATGTAAGACAGCGCATGGAAGCAGAGACGCAAAGACAGATCGTTCAGCCCTTTAGGTCTGTGCTAGCTTCAGAACTGCTTCTTCACCATACCTCATCATCTCATTTCCTCCTATGAGCTTGATTACAGTAACATGCTCCACTTTCTAATGGAAGCTCCAACTTGGTGCATGTGGTATTGACCCCAACTCATTCATTCACCAGTCACTGTATTGATGTCCCCCAACCAACTCCTGCATCGGATTGCAGGGGTCAATAGGAACCAAGATTTGTTTTAATCCAGCCTCACTCATCGTCCGCCTCTCCTGGGAAGAGTCAGGAATTCCGGGATTGGGAAGCGGTGGGGGGCTAAAAAAAAAAAAACAAAAAAGAGAATATCTGTCCTCGTCAAGTTGCCGGTGTGTGTTCCAAATCTTTCCCATAGTGGAGCAGGGCCAGCAGGAATTCTGATTCCCGGTCAGAGCACGTGCCTGTGTAAAGTGTTACAGCAAAAAAAAAATCCGAGAATCCCTGAAAATGGAGCTGAGCTCTGAAAGCTTACATTTTCAAATAAACCGGTCAGACTATAACCTGGTGTCATGTGACTTCTGACCTCGTCCACCCCAGTCCAACACCGGCATCTCCACATCAGGCCTAAAATTTTGAAATGATGTGGAGGTGCCGCTGTTGGACTGGGGTGGAGAAGGTCAGAAATCACAGGACACCAGGTTATAGTCCATCAGGGTTATTTGAAATCGCAAGCTTTCAGAGTCTTGCTCCTTCTTCGGGTGTTAGAGAAAGAGGTGGCATCAGGCACAGAATTTATAAGCAAAAGATCAAAGGGTCACAGAGCTGATGCGAATGTATTGAGCAAACCTAAGATGACTGTTAATTTTGAAAGAAAATTTTGAAAGAAAAACAACTTGAAACAGAGACATCTCCACAAGACTGGGGGTGCTTGAAACAACGAATAGCACACTCCTGCAAGTACTTCAGATAATTTTCTAAATCAGCCCAATTTAGAGATGCTATTACACACCGCCGGAGCAAGTAGGACTTGAACTCGGGCCTCCTGGTTCAGAGGTAAAGACACTACCGCCACACCACAAGCACCTACTTCAAATATTTTTCCTGAAAGCAAATTAAATCAAAATGCCTCGCGTTTATCTCAGAGTGTTCCAAACCACTTTAGTCAATTAAGAAATTCTCAAGCACACAATGACCGTTATAATGGGAGGCCGCTTGTGCACAGCAAGATCCCACAAAGAGCAATGCAATGACAACCAAAAAATCTCTACTAAGGAGAGGCTGGATAGGCTGGGATTTTTTTCACTGGAATGTAGGAGGTTGAGGGGTGACCCCTCAGAGGTTTATAAAATCAGGAGGGACATCAATAAGGTGAATAGCAAAGGTCACTTCCCCAGGGCAGAGGAGTTCAAAACTAGGGGACACAATTTTAAGGGGAGATGGGAAAGATTTAAAAAGGGACCTCAGGGACAACTTTTTTTTTTTAAAAATAGAGTAGTTTGTGTGTGAAATGAACTGCCAGAGGAAGCGGTAGATGCAGGTACAGTTACTACATTTAAAAGACATTTGGACAGGGACATGAATAGAAAATGTTTAGAGGGATATCAGCCAAATGCAGACACGTGGGACTAGTTTAGCTTGGGAACTGTGGTTAGCATGGATGAGTTGGACCGTACGGTCAGTTTCTGTGCTGTATGTCTCTACGTCATTGAAGGAGGGATAAACATTGACCCGGGCAGAGAGGAATAATTTCCTGCTCCTCTTCAAAATAATGTCGCCCAGGAAGGCAGGTAGGGCTTTTGTTTTAATGTTTCACCGAAAAGATATCACCTCCAACAGCTGCAGCACTCCCTCAGTACCGCACTGGAACATCAGCCTAGGCTTTGTTCACCTACGCCATAACAGTACCAAACGAGCAATAAATTGAATTACTTGGCTGCAATGAGTTTTGGGACATTAAGAGTTGGTGAAAGGCGCTATATAAATGCAAAGTCCTCAGGCAATCAGGAATCCGAGAGGCTTCTTTCCCCAAGTCAGCGGCAGAAAAGGGAGCTCCCTCCTCATCTGTTCGACCAGGGAAGTTTGAACCTCGGCTCCCCTCAGGCTACAAAAGCACATGGTCAGTTAGCTTCTGGAATCATACCCAATGAGAAAGCAGGAATACCGACCTGGTCTCTGCAATGTTGTAGAACGTGAAGTAGACTTCCCGGAAGAATTGACGGGGAATGTCACGGAGACCAAGAATATTCTGGATCAAATGACAAAAAGCGTAAGACTGAAAGCAATTGGTTCAGAAGCAGCATGGTAAACCCTTGCACTAACCCCAGAACTGAACAGTCAGAGCCATGAACATACAAACCCAGGTGACCTTTCACCTGTTCTCTCTGCCTCGGAAAATCTAAACTTGGTTATTTTCCAAAGTCATTCACGACATGTGTTGTATATGGGCCTGAAAGGGTTAATACAGAGGGTCTGGGTGCGATGCTGCTCGGTGGATTGGTGTGGATTTGATGGGCCGAAAGGCCTGCTCCCACGCTGTAGGGATTCTACGATTTTAGTGGAACGTGCATCTTCGATGGAGACTGGCAGCCCAGCTGGTGACCCCAAAATAAAATTCTACAATTCCTTAAGGATTAAAAAAAGAAACAACAAAAATTCCCTTTCTTCTGGATTCTTGGCGAATCCACAACGTTAAAACAGGGACTCAAAGCAGCTCATTTCTCCACAAGCCAATCCCCCTTTGAAAATTAAAATCACGCATCTCAAAGTTAATTCAGAATACACGGAATCCACAGAACTCCATGGGGCCTGACACATCGTAAGCCTCACATCAAAATGTCCGTTGTGTACACTTCCCCATCACAGACTGGCTCCTCGTTCCATATCTGGCCCTGCTGTGGGTTCACAGACTGATATTAGTGATGGTGAACAGGCAACAGCTCCACCATAATTTCCTTTATTCTTTCTTGGAACGTGGTGGTCACTGGCAAGGCCAGTATTTGTTGCTCGTACCTGACTGCCCTCGAACTAGGTGGCCTGCTGTTCCAGAGGGCAGTTCAGAGCCAGCCCTACATTGCTTTTGATTCTGGAGTCACGCAGAGGCCAGACTGGGTAAGGATGGCAGATTTCCTTCCCCAAAAAAAGTTAGTTGTGAGCCAGAGACAGTAGGAACTGCAGATGCTGGAGAATCTGAGATAACAAGGTGTAGAGCTGGATGAACACAGCAGGCCAAGCAGCATCATAGGAGCAGGAAGGCTGACGTTTCGGGCCTAGACCCTTCATCAGAAA